TGGGATAAACTGCTTGGCCTTCACAAGTTTAACCTACGAGGCAATTGTACCCGGAACAGTCCTTTCTCGCTATCTTGGTTGTCCTATTTCTCTCCATCTTGGTTGTCCGTTCTCGCTATCTTGGTTGTCCTATTTCTCTCCATCTTGGTTGTCCGTTCTCCCTATCTTGGTTGTCCTATTTCTCTCCATCTTGGTTGTCCGTTCTCCCTATCCTGGTTGTCCTATTTCTCTCTATCCTGGTTGTCCGTTCTCCCTATCTTGGTTGTCCTATTTCTCTCCATCTTGGTTGTCCGTTCTCGCTATCTTGGTTGTCCTATTTCTCTCCATCTTGGTTGTCCGTTCTCGCTATCTTGGTTGTCCTATTTCTCTCTATCCTGGTTGTCCGTTCTCGCTATCTTGGTTGTCCTATTTCTCTCCATCTTGGTTGTCCGTTCTCGCTATCCTGGTTGTCCTATTTCTCTCCATCTTGGTTGTCCGTGCTCGCTATCTTGGTTGTCCTATTTCTCTCCATCTTGGTTGTCCGTTCTCGCTATCTTGGTTGTCCTATTTCTCTCCATCTTGGTTGTCCGTTCTCGCTATCTTGGTTGTCCTATTTCTCTCCATCTTGGTTGTCCGTTCTCGCTATCTTGGTTGTCCTATTTCTCTCCATCTTGGTTGTCCGTTCTCGCTATCTTGGTTGTCCCTTTTCCCTATCTTGGTTGCCCTCTTTCTCTCTATCCTGGTTGCGCTTTCTCCCTATCTTGGTTGTCCATTCTTTCTTTGTTATCCTTTCTCTCTATGTTGTTATCCTTTCTCCCTATCTTGGTGGTTGCTTCTCTTTCTTCTGTTATCCTCGCTCTCCATCTTGTTTGTCCTTTCAATCTTAGCCATCCTATCTCTCTATCCTTTCCCTTTAGCTTGGTCCCGCTTTACCTCTATCTTGATCACCCCGTCCCTCCAACTTCCTTCCCCTTTGTCTCTATCTCACGTGTCCTATCTCATTATAATCACTGCCACTTCTCACTATCCCGGAGGGGCGGTGGGGTAGCCTAGTGGTTAAAGCGTTGGCTCGTCACGCCGAAGACCGGGGTTCGATTCCCCACATGGGCACAATGTGTGAAGCCCATTTCTGGTGTCCCCCGCCGTGATATTGCTGGAATATTGCTAAAAGCGGCGTAAAACTAAACTCAGTCAGTCAGTCAGACTCACTATCCCGAATGTCTTTTCTCTCTCTATTTTGACTGTCTCATTGTCTCTAGTTGGTTGTCCTTTCTCTTCACGTAAACGTGATATTCACCCACCAGTTTTAATGTCCAGCTTAGAGAATAGCAACATGATCTGAACGACACACCCAAAGGCATCCGGACAATGTATATCCTATCTTTAATTTGTAAATCTAATATAACAGCTAGTTATTGAGACTGTGAATTATGCTCAATAGAAATTATAAGGTTCACAAAACCACAAGAAAAATCCTTGACACTACAAAGTGATAGGGCGGTGTCCTCTTCCGAAGCCCTCCACAACCCCAGCAACACTCGGAGGACGTTATTCATTCTAAGTTACCCATGAGTCGTGTAGTATCATATCAAACATCATCAGGACATTGGTTGTTTCTTCTTTATCTACATCTTCGAACAACTACATCGACATTTGAGTTTCAGAAGCATCTGTCCTTTGTATGTAGTGAATGTACACGGCATAGCGTTAGGTGGTGGTGGTGGAATTGGGTTTAACGTCGTGCTTGAGAATATTTCGCTCATATGACGACGTGCATGCGTGTGTATGTGTATGTGTGGATGCTTGTACTAGCCCAGACTGAAGCTGGTTTTATAGTGCTAGCTCACTGAGATACCACGCCGCAGTGAAGCATGAATACCCCACTCAGACACATTATACTGACTCCGAGCCGACCAGTCCTTGTTGTACCCATTAATGCCGAGCGCCAGGCAGGGACCAACAAGTACCATATTTTAACGTCTTTTGGTATGACGCGGTCGGGGATCGAACCCGCGACCTTCCGCACTCCGGGCGGACGCTCTAACCACTACACCACGGAGGCGGTCCTCATAGCGTTAGGATTTACTCTTCCAACAAGTGGGGCCTTGGTTCGTCCATTCTTACTGTAGTTCCACACGTGAGTGTTCTATTTCTCGTTAAGATATATGATATTGTTGTCTATTTCTGTTCCTACTCTAAGAGACACTCTATGTGTTTACAAGGAAAACACGTGTAAGTAAATACAATACGTCGTCGCCAGAGACAAGCAAATAGAAAGCAATATGACGTACCTAAAACAATATTCCGTTCAATATTTGATCTTATTTTGCTGATGTTTAATGTTGTCTTAATCATAGGTATAGGTTGTAGTGAGTGAGTGAGTATGGTTTTACACCGCTTTTAGCGATATTCCAGCAATATCATGACGGGGACACCAGAAATGGGCTTCACATAATGTACCCATGACGAGCGAACACATTAACCACTAGACTACCCCACCGCCTCGTATAGGTTGTAGAAACATGACGTATGTACGTTGTGAAATTTTGAAAGTAACATAAACTGGCGAGTACTACTTCAATAATCAATGTTGCCGTAATTTCGTTATGGGAACCCAATGTCTGTGTGTAATTACCTGGATACTGTGGTATTTTGGTCCATGAGAATCTGTCAGATGGTCAAGATTTGTCTAACAAACAAGGATAGAAAATAGCTGCGGCGGGTCAAGCGCATCTGTCATCGAGTGTCCATGTTTGTGTTTTAACAGTTTAATAATCTGCTTCAATATTGCATATGCAACAATCTTAGTCAGTAAACAAGGACGATGTAAACAAACTGCAGTTTACAGCGCCCATCAACGTAATAACACAGATGCAAAAACAGCTACATGTGACAAAACACCATGTACTGATGTTTAGTTAATGGGAACGTATACTGTCACACTAGCCTCCCTTGGTTTGTTTGTTTATTGTTTACGCTGCACTCAGCAATATTCCAGCTACATGTATATGGCGGCGGTCTGTAAATATTCAGGTCTGGACCAGACAAGCCAGTGATCAACACTATGAGCATCGATCTACGCAACTAGGTTACGATGACATGTGCGAACCAAGTCAGCGAGCCTGACTACCCGATCCTTCCACAACAAGGATGAGTTGCTGAAGACCCTAGCTAACCTGGATCTTCACGGGTCCCTCCCTTGGTAACTTCTTGGTCAAAGTTTCAATTAAAACAAGAATACTCACAGGCGATTTACCTTTTATATCACGAGCGTTCACAAAAACAAGTGAACATTTAAAGCATTTCTATACATCACCATCCACGGTGACGTATTTTGAAATAGTCATTGTTCCAATCACCCGCATTCTGATTGTCAGAACAGTCTTTCTGTATTTGCCAGTAACAGTGGTTTCTGCAAAATATTTAGACAAATAATTCAATATATATAACAAGAGACAGGTGTAAATATAATTTAAACGAGACATACATAAAACACGATCGTCACAGTAGGCAATGTTCATGATAGTTCATCATCCCTGATGCTTATCAGTAGTGCAAGAACTCTTTTACATATAACCCCTTTTCGTTAGAATGACAGACATTATCGTAAGTTTACCTATACAACTCGAAAGATGGCTACAGGTAATTACTATTGTAGCCGATTGAAATTAAAATGTTTTTATCGACATAACCTTCAAACATTTAACAGTCATACTTTAAACGTGTGAAATACTATTTCCGAAGCATTCAAGATCGCTTAAGCCGAGGAAACAAATTGTCTACAGTTTAGATGAAATTTGTTGTTAAAGTACAAGAATTACAATTGTTAGGTCGGCCTTCTAGAAGTTGTGAGTCAATAATAAAGTACAAGAATTACAATTGTTAGGTCGGCCTTCTAGAAGTTGTGAGTCAATAATAAAGTACAAGAATTACAATTGTTAGGTCGGCCTTCTAGAAGTGGTGAGTCAATGATAAAGTACAAGAATTACAATTGTTAGGTCGGCCTTCTAGAAGTTGTGAGTCAATAATAAAGTACAAGAATTACAATTGTTAGGTCGGCCTTCTAGAAGTGGTGAGTCAATGATAAAGCATACAACTTCATGGATGCCAACTTCTTGTTTATTGCGTAGAGCGACGTTCAGTGTAGATTCTTAGCTTAGCTTGAAAACGGTGTGAGAATCTACACCGAAACATCACTGTGTGCAATAAACACGAGCTCGTTATCAATAAAAGCCTATGTTTTATTATTAAGTTTTATTATATCATCTTATATTAACACGTTAAACAGAGGCACACAATTTGTGTTCCACCTCTACAGATGCTTACCTAGCAATAAGAGTTTACTGTACAAGAAGTTCGTCAACTTAGTATTTGATTTTTTTCTTAATATATGTTACTGTTTCTGATTAAATTCTATAAAACTGGATCGAAAAGGGCAAATATTCAGAATTAAATAATAATACATGAGTTTGACAATCTATTCTGTATTTTCTTCCCAGTTATAATGTTAACGCATACTCCTAAAAGAGTTGTCAGAAAGTAAATGAAGAAAAACATCTCTTAAAGCTGCGTTCACAGACATCACGTGAAGCCACAAGCAACATATGTTGGTGAACATGTTGGCAATATTAATACCGCCCTGTGCATAACATAATGACGTTTGAAGTATGTGGAAAAATAGTTAAGCTTTGCAGCGACACTGAATGTAAATGGTGGTAGAATATAATTTGACCTCAAGTTTTAAAAGATATAATCCATGGGACATGCTGGTTCTTCTAATTTAAAAAATAACCCACCATAGGCCCCCAACTGAACTGGAGGTCCCCAAACACACTGTTTCGGGGTCATTTCAGAAAAATACGAATATCTTTTTAAGCGCTGCTAGAAAAATATTACGGATGTCATCGATAAAAATATGTTGTTCATTGCTGCATTGGTCACGGAGGTGGCCATTGAGCTGAGTTGTCGCTACCAAGCGTAGACACATTGTACAGACACTGACCCACGGGAGATAACTCGCCTTAATCAAGGTAACTTGATGCTGACGTACCGTTGGATAATAAATGTATTTCATTTCTTAAGGTCTTTTCATTACAGGAGCTGCAAAACATTTTCTTGAAGGCAATGTTGAAACGTCTGTTTGTTTTCATGTAAATAACGAAGTTTAAGGCAGAATTCAAGCACTCGAGCACAATGTTCATGTTGCTGAGCAACAAAAACGTGTAGTTGTATTTTCCATTTGTAGAGAAAGATGGTACAAATCTCCTCATCAGGACTAAGACTGACCCTGGAGCAAGGCAGATGACGTAGACTGACGTCACGGCTAGAAGCATGACAGTTACCCGCCTTTCCTCCATGAGAATACCCGACTTTGCCAGATTTGAAGATTGTTTGCGAAACTTTTGACCTCTTTTGAGAGATGCCAGCACAGCTGTTGTGCAGAACAGAACCACAATACACGGGGTTATCCGCAGCAAGGTTGCTAGGGCAACGTTTATATAATTCTCCATTACACCTTCGTTCTTGATATAGAAGTCCGTCCAAGCCACGGACAAAACAGATCTGTTCTTCGTAGGATCTAGAGTCCATCTGGTATATGAACAAAACGTCAGGGGAAACATCGCAATTGACACCAGGATGAATATTGCAACGACAAGCTTCAGAGCGCGAGTACGTGTCACCACAGCCCTCACCTTCAGAGGGAAAAGGACGGCGAAACACCTTTCAATAGAAATCACCATGGTGAGGACACTGGTGATTCTTGCAAACGTAATTCCAATGATATACCACTGCGGCACCATAAACACGCCCCAGTTCTTCCCAGACACCACATCAAACATGGACACAATGCAGGACATCTTTCTGACACAGGTAATCAGCAGGTACAGTGTATCTGAAATAGCCAAGCTGATGAGTACCACTCTTGTCCGATCCCGTTTCTTCTGCTTCAGAAACACAACAAAACTCAGGATGTTGCCAATAATCCCCACAATAGTGATCACAGGAACAAGGCCACAGCTGGATATGTTTACGATAAACTCTGAAGTTGCCTCATCCACTATGTTGTCATTGTGCTGGTGTGATGAATAATTAGAAATGTACTTGCCCAAAACATGGATTGATTCGTTAGACACAACCAGAGACATGATGAGATATTCAACTGAATATGTTTTGGCAGTCTTGTTTGATGTTGAGAAGAAGCCTTTGATGGCAGTCAGTATCCAGGTATATTTATGTATTAAGTCCTGGGCTGTTACCTGGTGTAAAGTCAGTGACCATGGGAAACCTGTTCCGATTTACAGTTGGCATCTGTCTGTATTGTACTGGAGATATATTCTGAACGTTTGAGCAAGGTCCCCATGCAGTCGCGGTGGCAGGGACCAATAGGAGACGCCATCGATCACCAAACGACGAAGCAGTTTCCTAATGATCTTCAGTGACCCTGATGAACGAATGATGTTTGCTCTCCATCGTCTGAAAGGAGATACGGAGTTGGGGGCTCTTTTGTCGTATTTGCTCGGAGTTAATTATAAGACGACCAGAAGCACTTGATATTGGTTTTATACACGTTTAGTTGGTCTGAGGATTTTCAATTATACTGCCCACGTCTCCTGTTAAATCCTTCCGAGATAACCCGCCGCTGACACAGCATTGGACAAACGAGGTCCACCCGATCCAGTTTCCAACTGTCTGAACTGATTACAGGTTACATCAATATCAGAACGGTGTATGCCTCTGTAATATCATCTCCTGTTTCGTGATGTACTTGCATCGTCCAACCCCAAGGGACAGCGTCTGGAATACAATTACAACATAATGAGAAAAAATACATGTTGAAGCTGATCCACTATCAGACATTATTAATGTCGGATGTTGATTATCTCACACTATCCGCACAGGAAGAAACGTTGTCGTGAAATCAAACTTCAATGAAATTGGAGATGACTTTAACATTTCGTTTTTACTGTAAATTCTAGGTTGTAGTTTTCATATTGGGTATATTTTTGTCTCACCAGATTCAGTTTTTGTATTTTATGCAAAACGATCGAGACAGTTAACTATTTGATCGAATGATACTTTCGTCAAGAAAACATACTGTAATATAATCCACCATCTATGGTTGATCTACATTACACTGCTTGTCACTTGTGCTGAGAATTGTCTAACCGTAATATATGGTATGGCGGCAATTCCACAGCATTATTAATTTGAATGATAGAGCCATTACACCATGATACACAACGAATGTTATGTTTAATGGATGTTTTCCAACAAACAATCACTTATGTATTTTTGTGAAATGTGTGAGGGGCGATGATAAAACACGACGTCTTTAACCATTTCATGAGCACCGGATGTGATCAATGGTGATTCCTTGTCCATTTATGTGTTTATCAGTACAATTTTGCATTTTAAATGTAGTGGATTCTCTTCCGGCAGATACTCAAGACTGGCCATTCACTGGCGTCGGGGTTTTATGCTTTTTATTTTCACTTGTTAATCTTACAAACATGTAGATCTGGATGCCATTATAAGACACGTTCTTGTCACAATAATGCAGAGATAAGCCCAATCTGATAAGCCTAAACCTTATAAGCCCACTCTGTGGTTATTCCTTTGTTTCACAAAACGTTCAGCCCCGACAGTTAGATGAACTGATCACAGAAACCGTTCAGCCCTGACAGTTAGATGAATGGGTCACACAAAACGTTCAGCCCTGACAGTAAGATGAACTGATCACACAAAACGTTCAGCTCTGACAATTAGATCATGAACTGATCACACAAAACGTTCAGCTCTGACAATTAGATGAATTGATCACACAAAACGTTCAGCCCTGACAGTTAGATGAACTGATCACACAAAACGTTCAGCTCTGACAGTTAGATGAACTGATCACACAAAACGTTCAGCCCTGACAGTTAGATGAACTGATCACACAAAACGTTCAGCCCTGACAATTACATGAACTGATCACACAAAACGTTCAGCTCTGACAGTTAGATGAACTGATCACACAAAACGTTCAGCCCTGACAGTTAGATGAACTGATCACACAAAACGTTCAGCTCTGACAGTTAGATGAAATTTGTCCTGCTTTTTTCGCTCGCCTCTCGGTTGTCATTCTAAACCAGTTACATTTCCAATTATTGTTGGTTAGTTTCTACCAACGACGTGTCCTCGTACCCCACAGTCTGCAATATCACATGTACATGAAGGGCTGCCTCTATCCCTTTCACTCTTGACTAAAACAATTGATGTCATCATAATGAGCACTCGTTTGCCCGAAATAATTGTTTATAAAAATGTTTAGGTTGAATGAGAACTGAGGTAGCAGATTTGCAACCACATGACCGGAAGCATGTTTGAAATGTAAGTATATGTCAAAGAACAAATATATGTCTTAGACACGCATCAACAGTTGTGTATTTTGCAAATATCGGTTTAGACAATTCCTTGAAGGTTATATAAATACGAACAGTTTCTCTCATAGCATCGTGTCGTATAAATCCATATAAATCCTCCCCTGACGAATTGGAATGCGTCACATTGTACTTTATCGAAAAGAGGTCAGCAATGAGTTGATATTTTTGGGGTTTCTAGACAATTTGATTATAAAGTACTATTGTACATAGAAACCAGCCTACGACTGTTGTATAAGGCCGTTGCATAAACTCATACACCAAACTATACACAACTTTAAACAAATATCCCACATACATTGAACACTATTGTTATAATGACTGGAGATTGTGTATATAATATACAAATAGTCGATTGATCGATCCAGTGGATTGACATTAACTCTGAACAATACTGATGTACGATATTGTTGAGACGCTGGTTGTTTATACTGCTCTATTTAAATAGAAGAATGCCATCCAAAAGTATAAAACACATTATATACAACCTATTTCTCTTTCCATTTGAACTCCCGACTGCTTGAATTCTGAATTAAGTTGAAACCAACTTGTTCAGGGGCTTAAATTGGCGCTGATATGCGCGTAGTGCAAGAACGCTGAGTTTCAGCCAAATGACCAGTGCCAAACTATGGCGAGCGAAAGCTTTATTCACTAGCCTACCCCTTCGTCCCCAGTACAACATTAAATGGCAGAACAATTACTATGGCAGTATAAAACAAAGTAGCAGTGATTATAACAACAAAGTCAGTGATGTGTTTGTCAGCATCAGTGATCCAGCCTATCTAGGAGAATAAGCATAATCTTCGTACAACTGCCGGCTTTGATGTAATGCACCAAGATATACGGTATGCCCATGTCCCTTGCATAGGTTTAACACTTACAACCCTGGTTTTGCCATTTAATGTTAGCGGTCAAGGGTACTGTTCAGCGACGAGGACAGGTTCAGCTTGTTCTAACCTTATGGTTGGGTGCGGGTGTATCGACGGACAGCCGAGCACCTGGCGCCAGGTTGCATTTCTAAAGGTTCGAGTTTTGAGAAGCGGTAGCGGGGACAAACGTTTTGCCACAATCCGTGGAAATTTCAACACCTCCGTGACAATGACACATTCTGAAGCAGGTTGTCCATCCGTTTCCTAGAAGACGTCCATTCAGGATATCGTTACAGCAGGACAATACCAGATCTCACACTGCTCCAGGTCATACTCCAGCCAGACCACGCACCGAGAGAACACATCTGGGATCTTCTTAGCTGACATGTAAGACAATGTCCGAACATACCAAACAATGTATAGCACCTAGCACGAGCCTAACTCGGGGAAGGGGATTACGTTACCAAATGACGTCACCAGGGTGTTATCGATGAGACGTCGTTTCCAGGTCTGTCCAGACATGAAGGGAAGTGACACAAGATATTGATGTCCGGAGCTTTTGAAATATTCAGAAGAATAATTGGACATCAAGATACATTTCTAATTGAAAACAGTTTAATGAGCTACCAAAATCGATTGTTTCTATTTGTTCATAGGGATTCACAAACACAAACTCATGATATTGTCGGAATCTTACAAAGAATTCGGTTTTCTTTATTTTCCATGAATAAGGAAGAGGTTTTGTCTCCATAATTGATCAATGTTCATCTGAGTATACTGAACTGTGAGAATTCTGTAAAGCCTAATGAAGACCACATTTTTTCAAATACTGACAACTTGGCGACAAGAAAATGGCAGGTACTACGGATTTTCTCCCGAGTCGTATTCCATCTTGTGAATGTACTTTCTGTGGTAGGATGTCATACAAGGTGCTAAAACAGCGAATATGGATCGGGCGACGAAAGCACCTTTTATGGGCCATCATGTGTTTACCTTAGCTAAAGTATGTCTTGTCCATATCCATTAGACAAACTTTGTTTGTGAAAAAAAATAACTATGCTTAATACCTATAGTGGCCTCAACCCGACAAGTATATCAGTATTAAGACAAGAAAGAAGCTATAGTCCGTTTGGCTCTGCAAGGAGAGGAACAGCCAGCACAAGTGCAGACAAAGTCATTGATTCATTAACCTGTGCTGTGCCGTCTCCATCCTTTCTCGCACACCTGGCTGTTCCTCTCTTTGCCTCCGTCCCTCGTAACAAATAGTGAACTGTGTCAAAATTTTAATGTTTGTTAAACAACTTGTTTTTAGGACATAAATTCTGCTAACAAATATCACAGAGTTGGTCTGATGTTTTGATTATGTTTTTCATAGAGTACTATATTATGTTTAGTATTTTTCGAGTTATATTGTAATTCATCGGTCCGACTTTGAGCCAAACGGACTATAGTACAGTTCTTCTCAATATTATAAATCTAAATCAGAAAAGGTCCATTGAATGAATAATTACATTAGGCCTAATATCATATGTGTAATGCTTTCTGAATTTTGCACAAACCTGTTTAATCGACCAAATTTTCCATCACATTATTAAAAATAAAAAACAACAACATATAACTGTAAACTCACTTCACCATATCATGTTACATTAGTGGCACTACTCAGCCATGTGTGTCTTGAACAATTTTTAACAAACAGCACGTTCTTGATAAGGGTTTGAAAACGGGCACGCTTTTGAAGCAGCCAAAACAAGCACTCAAATATTGTGTACATACCTTAGCGTAAGTAAATGGATCTGGTCTGCTTGTATAAAGTAGCAGACATGGATTTTCCTTAAGTAGGCGGCGTAGCAT